TAAATCTAGTAATCACTAGATAGTGATCCGTTCCCAGGTCAGCACCCCTGAACACTCGCGTATCCATAACCTGTTTTCGCAGTCGGTCATCCACCAGGAACAAATCGATCATACTTCTCTCATTCTTTCTTTCTCTAGTATACATATGGATTTTCTTGTGATTAAACATAGTGTTTGTCACAAGAAGACCCTTTTCCTTGCATACCGCCAGTATAAGCTTGCCAGCATCATTAACCCTTTTATCGCCAAACTTTCCAAGTACCGACTCGTATCCTGGTCGAGCGGTACCAACCCATCCATTCAAATCACCACATACAACAATCCTTTCGTTTCCCCTAGCCAAATCTAGAACTTCTCTTACATTCTCCCAAAACTCCTCCAGCTCAGCCCTGGACGACGAAGCCACCGGCGCATAAACAGCCAAAAGGAATAACTTCGTCAGTCCCAATTTAAAGCGAACCCAGAGAAGTCTTGAGTTCACAAACTTATATTCAGTCATAACATCGACCAACCGAGAAGACAGCAGCACCCCCACTCCCTGGCAGGCGTTCTCGCTCTCCGGGACTCCGGACCATAGAGCAAACGCCCCGCCAGGGAGTTCTTCAGTACCACTGCCCTTCCGTTTGGTCTCCGACATACACACGACATCTAATTCTCTTTCTTTCATTATTTCGATCAACTCATTCGTCTTATCTCTCATGCCTCCTCTAACATTCCACGTGCCAACTCTGCACTCCGTCCTCCACCTTCCGCCGTGTCGGGCTGTGCGTGACGGGTGGCGGTCCCCATCGCCGCTTTGCGCGCTGCATTCCACACCAACGGGGACGAGCTGGTGTGCGTCGCCTTGGGGGGACGCCCTAACCCTCGTTGACATGGGTGCGCAGCTGAGTAGAATTGCAGCCCTGAAAAGGGCTGGCAGGGGTCGCGACGAGCACGCTTCTACAATGACCCCCATATATATATATATGAGGTAGTCTTATTTATACGTCAAAACTTAAGTTTTTTCAAAAAACTAAATGTCCAGCGTCATAAAGATAAATTGAGCCATCCCAATAGTAAGACTGTTTTGTTTCATAAAAGCGTATTCTGTATGGGTCCTCGTCAATATATAAGAGAGTCTAAGAGCTTTCACATTTTTAAGAAACAACTAAACACATTTTTAACCAAAAAAGCGTACTATAATATTAACGATTATTTATATGACAATTTTTAAATTTTAACTATCAAATTTATTGAGCGAAACGTTATCTATGTTATTAATTTTGAGACAATAATTTATACCTGTTTTGACATTATTATTTTGAAATTACAATTTTAATTATTACATGTATTTTATCATAATTTTGTGAATTATTATTATGTTAGTAGTGCAAATATACAAATAGGGTTATATTATGTTAATGTAATTATCGGAATTTTCCATTTAGTTTTAATTATAAATAAAATCTTATATTTAAGTAGTTTTTCACACCGGAAGGTAGAATATGGCTGTATTTTGTCAAATTATTAAGACCTATTGTAACCTATATATCGCAAATGAATAAAATGAATTTGAATTTGAATAAATTTTGAACACAAAAGGCGTAGGTTGAAATTAAATGCTATACCTTCACTTTATCTGCGGGATAACAAACATTATACAGTAAGATCCTTTTTACAATAAATCTGTTTATTGTTTTGATTTGTTTAAAAATTAAATTACTGATTACGCGGTGTTGATATTTTGACTGTTGAAATTAATTATTTATCCCACCCTTAAAATTCAAAATTGTTTATTATTATTTCCCCCATTGTTTATTTCGTTTAATTCATTCATTTCCTATGATGCAAAAATAACATAAAATAACTAAATTATTCTAGAACTATAGCAGCCCTGCATCTACACTGGCGACTGCATCAACATCCAGTGTGTCTGAAAAGAATATTGGATCAACATCCAGTGCAATACCGACAATTGCACCTACACCATCCAGTACAACATCAACCAGCACATCTGATTCTAGTGCAAAATTAACTACTACAGTTAGATTTAGTTCGACAACAAGTTAGCAAAAATAGATTAGTTGTGTATCTAAATTAGAACAGGATGTAGAAAAACTGCAAAAAATTGCCAAACGACGACTGTTGAAAATAAATTGTTTGCGTCAAAAGAGAAGACGTTTAAAAAAAAAAATCTGGATTTAAAGTTGAGATTACAAAAATTTTTCGAATGAAGAAAAAATAGAAAAAGAAAAGTTGCTCACATTAGATTCAGTGAAAAATAATCCAATAATTGAAAAATATTTATAGAAATAAATGGGAGACGATAAGCCTAAATACTCTTTGGAATTGAAAAAATTCGCAGTCACTTTAAATTATTTATCACCGCGTGAATACGAGTATGAGCGAAATGAATTAAAAGATATTTTGCCACACCCAAAAACAATATGCAAGTGGTATCAATGTATCCAGTGTGATCCAGGATTCACTACAGAGGCCTTTGAAGCAATTAAAGAAAGGGTAAAATTAAATAATAATAAACCTTTATATGTAGCGTTATCATTCGATGAAATGGCTATTCGCTAGTTGGTCGAATGGGACGGAAAAAATTATTTTGGGTACGTCAATATCGGATGTGACTTGGATTCACAAGATATACCACTTGCTAAAGAAGCATTAACTTTTATGATAACTGCCGTAAATGACACCTGGAACATACTTGTGGGCTACTTTCTTATTGACTCAATCACCGCACAGCAAACATCTCTATTGGTACAGAAATGTATATCACTACTAAATAATTCTGGAGTTGAAGTTATGTTGCTCACTTTTGACGGTGCTTCAACCAATAAAGCTATGTGCAATATTTTGGAGTGCAATGTCGATGCATTCAATTATTCTTTTAAAGCTAATGATGATGAGGTAGTATATCTGTGGCCAGATCCTTGCCATAACATCAAATTAATAAGTAACACATTTGGGGACAAAAAAACTCTAGTTGACATACACGGGAACACAATTTCTAGGCTGCTATTAGAATTGTTAGACAAAATTCAAAGCAGTGAAGGGCTTCATTTGGGTACTAAAATAAAAACTGAACATATTAAATATGTAAAGCAGAAAATTAAGGTGCGTTTAACTACCCAACTTCTCAGCGCATCAGTTGCAGACGCTCTGGAATTTTGTAAATTACTCGGAATTCCTGAATTTGTCAATTGTACGTATACAATACAATTTGTTGGAATATTTAATAACCTCTTTGATATAATGAATAGCCGAAATATGCGGGCAAAAGGATGGAAATGTGCGTTAGCAATATTTAACTTTGACGAAACCAAAATATTTTTTGAGTTCGTTAAAGATAATATAAAAAAATTAAAATTTACAGATGGCTTGTTCGTTATTTCTAAAAGATCGACAGGTTTTCAAGGATTTATAATCTGCATGGACTCTTTAGTTGGTTTGTACCAAAAATATGTCCTCCCAGAAAACAGTGTATTAAAATATCTGTGTACTTATACGTTCAGCCAAGAACATATTGAACTGTTTTTCGGAGCCATAAGGTCTAAATGTGGTTTTAATAATAAACCATCGGCAAAAATGTACAAAGCTGCTTACAGACGGTTGCTGTTACATGCAGAGCTAAAAGATGGTTCAACAGGGAATTGTCTTCCTCTAGAAAATATAACAATGTTAAATTACAATAATCAAAAATATAAACAATTATTAAATTCATCTACTGGAAATGGTAGACTAATTGACTTGCCTGATGTGAACATTAATTTCGAGAATTATTCGGACCATGATTATATTTCACGTGCCTCAAATTTAACAGAATACGCATAACACTTAGTAGATTATATAGCTGGTTATTTAGTCAGAAAAATAAAAAAGGAAGTCATATGTGAAAAATGCCAAATACTGCGCGAGTTCGAAATTAGAATAGGCTACAAATTCTTAGGACAGCCTAAATATCTTTTAACAATGATTAATAAAATATCACAAATAATATTGCCAACATCTATATTCAGTAATTTAGACCAGCATTCGTTTGACAATGATTTACTGGACGATCATAAAAACTTGTTAATAAAGTTGATCAGCAAAGAGTTTTTAAAAATTAGGATTCACTACATTACCAAAAAGTTTTCTGCTCCGAAAGAAAAAATTAGGACATTTTTAAATAAAACAATTATATTAAAAGGACAATAATTTATTTATTTGTTTCGTATTATAATGTGTTATACATAGAATTTGTGAGAAATAATAAAAAAATATTTTTTTTTAATTTTATTGTTGTATTGATTAATCTCACTATTTCCAATTTGTATAAAAAGTACTCTGTGGTTTTTATTAAGGTTGCGGTGCCAAGATTCACTAACGCTCGATGTTTTTTCAGTAGTTTGGTTAAAAAAAAAAAACTCGAACGCTACTGAAATTACTGCGCAGCCCGCCGCGCCACCTTAGTATAATGATGATATTCATGTAGAGATATTAAACTCTGAAAATCACAGACACCATTTCACAAATCTGAGGATATGATTCCACGCTTTCATGATTACCATAGACAAAAATACTAGTACCGATATCGGCATTAATTATTTTTACTGGCAATCACTAGTTAATACTCTTTTGTCTATGACAATATACGTTTTAATTATCTAGTACTACTTCTTTGCTTTAGTTATTGTTCTGAGAAATCTCCCAAGGGCTGCACAATGTGACGCATCAACATATTGTGAAGCAGTGAAATTCTATATACTCAAAATAAAAAGACAAGGCTGTATAGCATAGTTCCTTTGCCTAAGCTTTCGAGCGAATAGTAAAAACGACAACAAATTGTCAAATAGTCAATGTCTAGCTGACAGATTGAGATTGACAGATGATAGTCGTTATAAATGGCCATAGCGATTTGTTAAATTATTTCATCAAATAAATTTAAAAATTGCTAAATTTTTACTGGCCATATAGGTTTATCCTTTTCTTATTTTTAACTGAGTATAGTTTAAATTGTCTTAAATATGACTTCCCCATCAGCAGCTGATGAGATAGATGAAGAAAAAGAGCGTGCCCATTTCAGGGCTGTAGTTACCGCTTTTAAATATTATAAGTAAGTACCTATATTTATTACCTACCCAAATTACAACAGTAATTACAAGTGATATACACGTACGCCTATAAAAGTTTTCGGTAGATTATTTTTAATTTTAGAACAAAGACTTCTTTGCATAGCAACTAGTCTTTGTCCTATTGGATTTGTTATATACAATTAACCTATTTAGATATAACAATAAGCTTTGTTTTTATCTAATAAATTTGTGGAACTTTGATTCTAATGTACTTGGTGTTTTGGTCGTTTTTAATATTTATCAAGCAAATCCAATTATTTTGTTTGCTTAATGCTAAAGATATATTAACTATCTAACATTTTCAAGTGAAGAAATATAATCTTACAAAGCTTGAAGGGACTAATAAAGTCAACTTTCAAAGAAGAGGGGGTGTTGTGGGAAGTGGGACCCCTTCAATTAATTAATATTGGAGATTGTTTGCAAAAAATCTCTTATATCAAAGCTAATAGTGAGGAGTAGTATAGGAGACAATGGAGTGAAGAGGGAAAATTCTTCCAAGGAGATTAAAAGCAAAGATCAGCATAACATTTGAGATTTTCGAAGACATTGGCTTAAAGGGGTAAAGTGAGACAATAGAAAATGCACAATCATTTACAAGTTTAGTGGTAGAAACTGCAGTATAAACGAAATAAAACAAGGATTTACAAATATTAAAATGAGTTATTAAATAAATACATGATAGGTAGAAAAATTGTTGGAAGTTGTCAAATTGTACGTAAGAAAGGAGAAGGTCCAAAATTGAATGAGGCATAGGCCTAGTTTTGTACTAGTATGGAAATAAATGAAAATAAATATTAAACCACTTTTGATCATTCAAATCTACGAATTTGCCTTTATTTCAGTGGTATTAATATTTTATTCTCACCAAAAAATGCAACACTAATGGCGGATTGATGTTGTTTTGATTTGACGTTAGCTGTCACTTCTGCATTCTACCCTTATCACCAATAGCCTATCATGTAGATTTATTAGTTTTTATAGATTTATTTGTAAAATAGCTTAAATGTCTCGAAACTAGTAAGAAAGGAGGGCAAAAAAAAGTTGTATTTTTTGATAAAAATTTGAATAAAGTGTATTAAAGATAGTGTATTTTGGTCTTGGAACACCAATCGCTAGGTCAATCATGTTTTGCATACTAAAGGTAATGTAAATAAAAGAGCTTAATTTTTTTATTTTCTATTTATGTATCCTACTTCAAAATCCTAGGTTATTTAGTCTGATTTATTCTCTTATTTTATTTTTAACAAAAACCCTGAATTTTTCTATTTTTTATGGTATAGTGTACATAGACTAGGCCAGAAATGGACCGTCTCCTTTTATACATACATACATACACATTTATGAATTTTGTATTTTTGACAAATGTAACAGAACTTTAACACTGCAAACTGCCAAATTGCCCATTTAGTTATTTTACTGTCCATTTAATTATTTATAAGTGCATATAAACAATTGTTTTAAAAAAAAACATGGCACTGACATAAATTAGTTACAAATAGTATATGAAAAATAAAATAGATAACATTGCACATGGTAAATGGGCTAGGATTTACTATATTGATAATATGACAAAAACTATACTTTTCTTTTTAATATGTTAATTTATATTTTTCTCTTTGTTAGAATGTTACAGTACATTTTTGTGATTTTTTTCAGTTTTTTGTTTCAGTATGTATTTCCATATATACATAATATTTTAGTATTTGATCTTTTCCTCCTACAATAAAATATAAACCCAATATTCACATATTCAAGGTTTCCTTATATGTTTAAGGTAAAAGAAATATATTAAGTGTCATATAGTTTTTAACGTAAATATTAACATTTTTGGGTATTGCATTGAAGGCCTTATAAAATTATTTTGAGGTCATTAACATATTTAACAAACAAATTTAGTTTTAGAAATATACGAGGGTGGATTGAAAAGTACTCGGCCTAACCAAGAAAATAAACACATACTAAATCAGTTATATTTTTATTTTTCTACATAATCACCATCAAGTTCAATACACTTTTGCCACCTCCCCTTCCAAGCATTTAGACCGTTGAAAAAAAATGATTCTTCCTTAGAGTCAAAATATGCGTCTACAGCTGCTTTGACCTCGTTTGTCGAAAATCTTTGACCTCCCAAGTGCTTTTTTAGGTTAGGGAACAGAAAGAAGTCTGATGGTGCCAGATCAGGTGAATACGGCGGATGCGGTAACAGTTCAAAGCCACAGTTGTGAATTTCAGCCATTGACTGTACTGACGTGTGAACACGGGCGTTATCTTGATGAAACAGGACTTTTCTTCTGAGCATTCCTCCACGTTTTTCTTTTATTTCCTCTCGTAAACGACGTAGTAAGGTGCAGTAGTAATCAGAGTTTATATTCTGACCCCTTTCAAGATAATCAATCATAATCACACCTTTCGAGTCCCAGAATACTGAAGCCATCACCTTATTTGCCGACAAAATCGACTTAGCCTTTTTAGGGGGTGGTGAACCAGGTCTTCTCCACTGTTTTGATTGTTTCCGGTGTAGAGTAATGAACCCATGTTTCGTCCATAGTAACAAAACGATTCAAAAATTCATCTGCATCGGCTTCAAATAACTCCAAACAGTCGCGTGAAATAGTCAATCGCGTCCTTTTTTGTTCAACTGAAAGCAGTCACGGAACCCACCTCGCAGACACCTTGTGGAAACCCAACTCGTTGACAATGATGTTTTGAGTTCGTTCATAAGAGATGCCTATAATCTCGGCTATCTCTCTAATTTTTAATCTGCGGTCTCCCATTATTAAATCAAGTACTTTTTTAATATTTTCGTCAGTAGTTGACGTGGAAGGCCTTCCAGAGCGGGGTTCATCTTTCACACTCTCTCTACCACGCTTAAATTCTGCTATCCATTTTTTGACGGATGAATATGACAGAGCACAATCGCCTAATGTACTGACCATGTCATCATGGATGGCTTTTGATGATAGCCCCTTCTTATGGAGGTACTTAATGACGGCACGCTGCTCGATTTGCTCCATTCGCGGAAATTATGTCCGATTACTTTGTTAATAAATTTATAAAATCACAACTAATTATCGCACACGTTTCGAACTTCACACAATGAACTAGTCTGAACTGAACTAAATAATGTGGATAGATTTGATTTTTAGAATTGAATGGATCTGTGTTAGGCCGAGTACTTTTCAATCCACCCTCGTAAATCTTTTTCTTGCACTGTCTTGCAAGTTTATTGTAATGTATTGCAAATTACAGCCTTAACATTTTAAATTATGCATTTAAAATCTGAAATGAAGCTCTTACACAGCAATACTGTTACGTTTTAAACTTTACAAAATATTAGAGATAATATGCATAGCAAAACCCTATCTTGCCTATGTCTCAATACACTAGAGTTGTTATTTATTAAATGTTAAACACTTTGTTTTAGATTATGTGGTTTGGAGAGATTACACAAATCAGAAAAAATTATATCCTTGCTTCCACACAATCATCAGAGGCGCTTAGAAAAGTACAAGACTTATCTAGCTAAATTTAAGAAATGTCTTGACATTAACAATAGTGTAGTCCATCTAATTATTAAGGATGTGGATACTATGTTTGAGAATGTTGATCATAGTAATGCAGATACATCAGGAACTAACGGCACAGAAAGTTTTGGTTGCAATTATAACAATTGTGAAATTACATCACTTAAACAACATAAAATGCAGCATGATGTTGAAAAAGTAAGTTTAATGGCACAAACATGTTTAAGATGACACAATTTATTCTGTTTTATGATAATTACATTTGTTCTCAATTTACATTCGACAATATAGGTGATAATAAAAGTATATTTAAACGTGTTAGAGCCATGCTGCAGATATATTACTGGTATAGTTGAAGCACAAATGACCGCTCTGTCACAGAATACCAGCGTAAAATAGTAGCAGTGAGTGTAGAGAACCGGAGACCCTTTTTATTTCTTGCCTGTTCTTCTCTTAGGTCTTGTATTTGGGAACCGGTGCAGATTTTGATGTTCATAAGAGCGTAAAACTAGCCTAGGTTAATTAATAAGTTTTGTTTTGACTTTGATGCTTGATGCAATCTATAGACCAAGGGGTCTACTTTAAGAATAAAAAAAGTTAGCATTGTAGTAAATGAAAATAATTTGAATTTTTCTTGTATTACCTCTTGTACTCTTAAAGTAGTACAACTAATTTTATAAGCTCTAATGTTCAACGATTAACATTAGAGATTATAAAGATCCCCTACTGAACTAAGGCCTCCCGTATGAATTTTCTCATAGGGCGATTTTACCATAGTTGCCACACTTGGTAGACAGGTTAGCAACCACAGTTTTTACAATTTAGTGTTGTTATCAGAGGGATGCTGCTGCCCATTTCCTGTTTCAGTTTCCCTCTATCGCCATAGGGGATTTTCATATTTAAGGGATACATACGAAGACTACCAATTTGAATAAAGTTGAGGATCTTTTCCTCCTCTTTTACTCTTTCCGAAATGAGAAATGGCTTCTGCAGCTATTCTAAGGACTTCACGCACAGTTGTAGCTGTACAAAAAATATTAACTTTTTTTTTTAAATTACTAAAAATACTAAATAAAAACTTTGTACAACTGCAATTGACATGCAAAGATGAAATTTTTGATTGGTTATGTAAACGGTTATCAGGTACAGTCAGTGTTAAAGAATATAGTAAGAGACTGGAGTGCAGTAGGTGTGCCCGAACGTGAACAATGCTACCGGCCCATATTGAATGAGTTGGAGGCACGTTTTCCATTTGAAGAAATTAGGTATGCTTTATACACACATATTATATAGAGGAATTTATCATAGTTTTAAAATTTTGTTAGGTTGTCATTTTACAATGGGTAAATTATTAGAGATATTTTAAAAAACTAATTGGATAAGTAATAGATTTTTTATTTTGGATTTTTGTGTTTGACACTAATATTCAATTTAATGTTTTTCCAATAATGGTTTAAATAATTGAGGTTAGCATTCTCATTCAACTCTCAAAAGCAATAACTAATGTAGACGCCTGGGAATCAAACCTGAGAACAGGTAATTCTCACATTCTTCTATATGTTACTAGCTGATACTCGTGACTTTGTCCGTGTTGCTGTCACCAAACACATAGTGCTAATAAAAATTGTTGTTTCTTAAAACTCTAATAACTTTATATTAAATGAAGATATCACAATAATTACTTTTTTAAATAACCGCAAAGTGTCTAAGAAATAAAACTTAGAAAACCTAATTGAAATCTATCCAGTAGTTTTTTACGTGATACGCGCACAACTGCAAACCTCTTATCATTTTATTTATATAGATTTTCTAATTTAGCTGCTTGAACTTTTAACTCTTTTTCAGTGACAGATCACAGATCAAGGTATTAGTCCCAGGAGCAGGGCTAGGACGTCTTGCGTGGGAGATTGCTAACAGAGGTTACATGTGCCAAGGAAATGAGTTTTCCCTATTTATGCTCTTCGCTAGCAACTTTGTACTCAACCGTTGTCCTGATGTAAGTTTCATTTAAGAGCCTGTTTCCATTGAGGTTTCACAGCAGATAGATATACTGTTCTTTTTAGATTTGACAATCTATTTTACATAATTGTGCGGATAACTAAGTTACCATTTTGACATAACCATAAAATAAATGCATGCAGGAAGTCTATAGATGCAAGCAGCTCACGACCGTGTTTTATGGCATTCTTTTTGGGCGGCCTTTGATCAACAAATGGAGGGTCTTGATGATGATAAAATAAATATGGGGGACATGAACTGCCAAAAGGTTCCAACCTAAAAAATAATGATTAGCATAATATTTATTAGGTACTTTTTATATGTAATGTTCCGTGTATGGTATGACACGAAAGCTAAATTTATTAAACATTAATATTTATGTAATAGTTGTATTTTTTTTTATATATGAGAGAGGGCAAACGAGCATGCGGCTCATCTGATGGTAAGTGTCTACCGCTGCCCATGAACAACTGCAACACCAGATGAATTGCAGACGCATTGCCGGTATTTTTAAAAAGAGTAGGCTTTTTTTCTTGAAGGTCCCTAAGTCGTATCGGTCCGGAAAAATCGCTGGTAGTAGTCGATTTCACAAGGAAGTGGTGCGAGAAAGAAAACTTCTTATAAATTGCATAATGGTGGACCGCCAATCATCCAGGTGGCATGGATAGTAATGCGAGTTATGTCACAATGTGCGATGGTGAAGTTTTGCGGCTGGAATTAGTCCGAACGATTCCTCTGAGCACACCCCGTGGTAGATGCGATAGAGAATACGCAAAGAGATGCAACATCTCTTCGCAGCGCCAGTGAGTCAAGCCGATCGGAAAGAGCTCGGTCGCCGTCGATTAGAACCGCTCTACCCTGAATACGATGCGAATGGAGGGAGCTGGCACTGGGGAGCCCCGGCCCAGAGATGGGAACAGTATTCCATGTGGGGCTGAACTTGCGCCTTGTAAAGTTGCAAGCGGTGTGCCGGCATGAAATACAGTCCCGCTCTGCCGAGCACGCCAAGCTTTTCAGAACCTTCTCTTCCAAGTGACCATGAAACTGCATGTCGTTTGATATGTCGATGACAACAAGGGGAGTGCCCTGAAACTGAGGAGATACGTCAAAGGGGATCTTTTTAGCGGTAAACGTGCAAACTTGTGTCTTATAGCTTAATAAGTCTTGTCTTAAGTCGCCCCAAATCTGAGACTTTCTTCAACAAAGACTCGACTTGAGACACAAGTTTGTTCCGGTACTTGGCGAAGTTTTCCCGAGAAATATTTGTACGGCCGGTGTATAAAGCATATCATTGATTATGCATAAGAAACTGAAAGGAAGCTTTTTTTTTTAAAGGAGAGGGGCATACGTGCAAACGGCTCACTTGATGGTAAGTGATTACCGCCGCCCATGAACAACTGCAACACCAGGGGAATTGCAGGTGCGTTGCCTGCCGGCCTTTTAGAAAAGATTAAGGTCTTTTCTTGAAGGTACCTAAGTCGTATTGGTCCGGAAAAATCGCCGGTGGTAAACTATTCCACAGAAAGGTCATACGCGGGAGAAAACTCTTAGTGAAACGTACAGTGGTAGAGCGCCAAACATCCAGGTGGTGTGGATGGTATCAGTAGTTTCGAAAAAAGCGCTTTGTGCCAAACCCGATCGAAGGCCTTCGCTATGTCCAAACTAACGGCCAGGCCTCCTCCCCCTGCACCCATCATTGTGTTATGTAAACAAGAAAATCACCAGCTGAGCGATCCCGACGAAATCCATACAGGCGGTCACTAATCAGCTGGTGATCTTCAAGTTACCGCATGAGCTGGCAGTTAATAATGGATTCCGTTATTTCCGAGAACAAGGAGGTAATGGCGATAGGCCTGTAGTTAGACGGATAAGAGTGGTTACCTGTTTTAGGGATCGGGTGCACGAAAGCTGTCTTCCTGAAATGGGACTACGCCTAGGGAGTAGGAGTACCGGAAAAGATGTGTTAGAACTGGTGCTAACTATGGAGCACTCGTTCTCAGCACAATTGTGGAGATTCCCACTCAACCCACTCAACTTATGGATATCCAGAGAGAGGGTTGCTTTGCGTAATGAGCGCACATCAGGCATAGAGCACTCACACCGCGGGATGGTTTGCGGTGTGTTCCCCCCGTCATCGAGATATATATAAGCTAAATTTATTAAATATTAATACTGTTATTAGTTGTGGGTTTATGTTTAGTTTTATGGCGACCGCGCAAGAGAATACACCGTAAAGCAATAAAGGGATATACCAGAAAGATCTTTCGATAGATGGCGTATGACAATCTCGCTTACGCCAGGTACAAAATACGTAGATCGGCGGCGTCGAAGAACAGCGTCAAAGGTGCGAAACGATTGGTACTATGATTGATTCATTCGTGCTACAACCATAATATTGCTGCAGCGTGACTACCACGTATATACCACGCAGTATGAGTATGGTACGTCTCGCATGTTTGAAGCAGTTTCTTGTCACCTTACTTATCTTCACGCACAATCCCTGACGGGGTAGCCAGAGAGAACAGATCGCCAAGTGTCACGATCCTTACATACCTCTTTCGCTTCTTTCAGATTCATTATCTTCTTCATACATGCACGTCTAGGTATCCGAGTACTCTTGACCCTACCCTCTTCGAGCAATTTGCTCACATGGTCTTCGAAAGTTAGTCTCGGTCTACCTCGACACCTTTTAATATTAACTTTCGCGCTATATATTTTCTTCACCATTCGGTCTTCACTCATTCGCTCAACGTGCCCAAACCACCGAAGCACGCCCTTATCAATTTTTGTGATAAGGTCATCTTTCAAACCTGCCATATTGCGAATCTCTTCGTTTCGCTTTCGGTCGGCCATGGTAACGCCGCACATTTTACGAAGAGATCGCATCTCCACTGCATTCAACTTGCTTTTATGCTTCTTCTGGCATACCCAGGTTTCGCTGCCATATAACAACGTCGGTACCAACACTGCGTTATGTATTGCAAGGCGTGCACTCTTCACTACGCCTTGCCTTTTGACTAACGCAGTCAGGGCACCATTGACTTTGTTCCCGGCAGCGATACGCCTGTCCACATCTAAATCACATCTTCCATCCCGGCTAAAAGCACTCCCCAAGTATGTCACCGATCTTTGTATTTTACGTTTGGCGAAAACGAACGATTTTACCGCTATTTGTCGGAGACCATAAATTTTTTCTGGCATTTCCTACAACCTCTTACAACACTCAAGGAATGAAGTGTACACTTCACCGCCATCATATGGCTATGTGTAAGCATATAAATAAATTTACTTTGACAGGTGAACATGCACACAGTTCATCCATGGTTACATCAGTATGTAAACAACGTGACATGTGAACACCAGCTTCGTCCCGCCACATTCCCTGATGTCAAGCCTTCTGCTGACAAACCAAATTACAATTTCTCCATGACTGCAGGAGACTTTCTTAAGGTATGTGAAATGTGTTAAGATATTACAATGCAATAAACATGCACAAGTTTTTGTGTTTTTTATTCTTATATTCGTTCATTCATCAAAAGTCAGAGCTTTATTCATACGAGTAGATTAGAAATGACTTTTAATAACGTTGAAATAAAGAAAACAAATCCTGCAATCAAAGCAAAACCTTACCTTAAGTATGTGAAGTGTGATAGGATTTTGTGTTTTGCTTTCTGATTGCAGGATTTCTTTTCTATAAATTAACCTAAATAAAAAAAAAATCTAATCTTTGTTCCTCAGTAGACTTGATAGGCTGTAATAAATGAATGAATGTAACACAGTTGTTTGACCGTGTAGTGATAGCGCACAGATTAAACAATAATAATGTACCCCATACCGAATTTCGGTCATGGCAGCCAGCCTCAACGGTGACTAGCCTTCGGTGCAAGGCAGGATTATAGTGCCAAAGTGAATGAGCAAGCACAGGTGCACTGTCTATTCCCTCACTCTCATAGTCATGAAGGGACGGTAAACCGACACAGCCGAAGATTACACAGGACCAACAGCTTGACGTGCTATCCGAGAGTCCGAGGCACGGGGGCAGTTGCTGAGAATTTCATGACAGAAAAGTCCACTACACCAACAAGGCCGTCGAAATAATGTTACTACGGCGTAAAGTATTGCATTACTCTTTATCGCCCCTCAGCAGTGGACATTTTATAGGCTGTAAATAGTTAAAAAAAAGTTGTTTTTACCATGTAGTGATGCTCGCTCCATAGGTGTAAGAATTAACAATGGAAAATACCAGAACGTTATTCTAAGCTTCTAAAATTCAAGAAATTAGGCACGTGTGGCATTCACAGAAAATTGGCCTTACGACACACAGCAGTAAATTGTTTTTGGTATGATGAGAATAGGCTCTAACTTCGCCACCATAAGGCAAATTTCATGCATATTATCAAAATCTGTTACCTGTCAATACTCGTCAGTTGATAGGGCGTTTTTGATATTTTTGGTTGTTAAATTACATAAAGTTTATATTTCCAATGTGCTCATATATTAAAACACTTAATAAAATAATATAACTTCATAGGTTTACACAGAACCAGACGAGTGGAATTGTGTGGCAACTTGCTTCTTTATAGACTGTGCACCTAATGTTATTGAGTTCATCGAGCGGATATATACCATCTTGATGCCGGGAGGCTTCTGGATCAACTTGGGACCGCTACTGTATCATTACAGGTGAGTTAAATTTGGGAATTTAATTTTTTTTACAATACGGCGATGGTGACAAGAGATCTCACAATCATCTTCATTATAATAAGAACTTTAAGGTGTTTAGAATTGTTGTTTCAGGAAGCACTAACTAGACATGCACAAAATGTATTGCACATATATGTAACAAGTTCGGTCAAATGCAAGTGTATCTTTATCATCATCACAAAAGCAAAAAAGAATCAAGATGTATTTATGTTGCTATCATTTTGGGCTAAAGTGCAATGCTATTATAGTTTGAAGTCATATAGTGTAGTATCTTTTTTCTGCCGACTTTCAAAAAGGAGACGGTGCTCAATTCGACTGTATGTTTTTTTTTATGTGTGTTACCTCAACTTTTTACTGGGTGAACCGATTTCGATGATTCTTTTTTTTATTTGGCAAAGCTGATACTTCTCGTGTGGTCCCATGTAAGTTCGATCAAGGTCAGACCAATAGTTTTTTAGTTATTCTTAATAACTTATATTAAAGTCGGCTGTACAAAATTTTTAATTTTAAATTATTAATAGAATAATAATAACAAATGAGTGCACAGTTCACCTGATAGTAAGTGAATGCTGCGGCCCATAGACATTACATTTATCCTCGATTTAGAATCAAAATGCTGATGAGGGATGTTACCCCTGAGGACTAAGATGGAATGCCTCGTTTCTAGTAAAAAGGGTCTCCGGTTCTCTACACTCACCATACGAAACACAGCAGCATTAAACTGCTATTCTACGCTGATATTCTGTGAGAGCGTGGTCATGGTCCTACCCTGTTCGAGTCGACCCATTCGTGCTACAACCACCATAATATAGTTTCAGCATGGCTCTACCATATAAAAAAATATCTTGTTAATCACATTTATTCCACAAACAAAGACATGCTTTGACTAAATACTGTGGTGTGGATGCAATTCTGTATGTATGTGGTAAATGTTTTTGTTTTTTTATTTCAGTGATATGCCAACAGAAAATAGTATAGAGCCACCTTATGACATTTTACTGGACATTATTAGGGATGTTGGCTTTGATATATTGGTAAGTACCACCATAAAAGTAACTGCTTAGTTGATCATAATGTAAAAATTCAATGTGGCTACCTGTTAGCTGTAGCTGTGGTTATTTTATTCATAGCATTGCTTTATATGAAGTGTTTATGCAAAACCTATTATTTTGAAATTTCACTGTGTTTAGAGCGAATAGTCACGTTCACTTCCGTGCTTTGTGGCATTCCTTGGGGGAGGCCTATGTTCAGCAGTGAACTTGTGAAGAGCTGTAATGATGATGATGATGATGGTAAAACGTAATAAAAACCTGTCGATGTCAGGAATAATGAAATTGGTTTCAAACACTTGTATAAAAGAAAGGGACAGAAGACTTGATATAGTGTTCTTAGGTAATTCAATAAAATATTAACAAATCATAATTTGTACTTATTGCAGGAAGAACGTACGGGCGTGAAGACTAAATACGCACAGAATCCGAATTCGATGATGCAGCTTGAGTATGACTCAGTTTTCTTCGTTTGCAGAAAGACTTTCTGCTCTTAGAACTGTTAATTTGGATTACAATTGTATATATACTATATTGCAGTTTATCAACGTGTAAGTGTACACGTGATTACGCTCCATATGTCTGTTAAAAAAGGGCCTATTTTCGAGAATAAATGTTTTTTAAGTTCTTTATAGTAAATGTTTCTATGTTATGTCATCAGGCGAGATATGACAAACAGTATTGTGGTTTTTAAGAGACAAATTTCAAAAAAAATACGAAGAGTTAAATGTAAAGATGTTTGACTATAGTCCGTCAAATAAATGGATAACTTGAGACCTAATACTACCGACTGAATTATTAGGTATACTTCCCACTTACATAATAGTTGCCGCGTTCAAGAGTCGTACTTCTATATTTTTCTTGGAGTTAAATACCGTTGCGCGTATTGACTCGAGGCGAAGTAGGTTTTTTTATAGGATAAGGGTGACAGACAGCACACAGTGCACCTGATGGTAAGTGGTTGCTGTGGCCCATAGACATCTACATCTATCTTCGATTACGAATCAAAATGCAGATGCATTCCATCTTGGTACTAAGATGGAATGCCTCGTTTTCAGTAAAAAGGGTTTCCGGTTCTCTACGCTCACCATAAGAAACACAGCAGCGTTAAGCTGCTATTTTACGCTGGTATTCTGTGAGAGCGTGGTCCTGGAATTCTCCGGTCGAGCCGACCCATTCGTGGTACAACCATAATATAGCTGCAGCGTGACTCTACCACGTGTAAAAAACCGTGGTTCATATTCGCCCGACCCTGACCCTAACCTCGTCGTGACTATTATCTTACCACGTTTTTATTAACTAGTTTTCGTGTATGTCTGTTCGGGTCGTATTTAATAATTGATTTTAAAATAACTTCCCGATGAGCTAGAGACTTGCAGTTATAAACATATGATATGGTTGAGTATATAAGAACATCAAAACGTGGTATATATTAAAAAAGTTATACCAAAATAATTATTTGATTGCACATTGGGCTGCGTTTCGACATCGCTTTGTCTTCGCTTCAACGCCGCGTCGGGGACATTTGATACGTCAATTTATTTTTATTTGAAATATCAGTGGTCGATAAAAGTTGATGATAAATTCAGCATTTGAATATGTAACATTTCTTTCTAGATGCAAGGGTGACAAATTAGCCCACAACCTACCTGATGGTAATACCCTATGGCAAACCTTACCCTAAATCTACCCTCAATAAAGGCTCAAAATGCAAACATTGTCACATGCCTTATCACTAAGATAGAATGTATACCATAAAGAGTTTCTGGTTCCCGTCAATTACCACACGAGACAGCAGCGTTATGTTACTGTTACACGTTGGTATCCGTTTCTGTGCTAGCGTGGTTCTTTCCCCGGTCGAGCCGACCTAGTCGTGCTGCAGTCATAATTTGCTGCAAGCAACTTTCGCGACGTAAGAAATAAAAAATTTGTCAAACATTATATCTACTACTTTCAAAATCCTCTAATTGCATAATAGGCACGGAATGCAACTCTTAGTAAGTTCTCTCTTTTGTCTTTATTTAAACTTTTGAACCAAACTATGCACATATACACACACACGCGCACACGCACGCACACACACACACACACACACACACACACACACACACACACACACACACACACACACACACACACACACACACACACACACACACACACAGCGCGCGCGTATACCATAACCATATCAGCCTATCAAAAGTACACTTTGAACATAAGCCAACCCTCTTAGATTGTTTCTTAGGGAAGATATTTATCATATTTGCCACACTTGTCGAGCGGGTTGGCAACTGCAGTTTTTTATTAAGTTGTTATTAGGAAGGTACCGCTGCCTATATCTTGTTTTATTTCCCTCTGTCGCCTCTGACGAGACCTACGGGGCGATATGGGGTAGTGGACATTCGTACACGCGGTATACAAATAGTTATAACATTTAATCATAATAGACCCACCGGTATTAAAGCATATTCTAGGATTTAAAAAATCTACATATAGAATTATAAAAGATATATAGATTATACAGATTTCTTAAATGACGTTTAAAATATCTGTATATTAATTGCTTGTTTAAATAACATAGAATAAAAAATCGATAGGGCAATAATGATTGCGTCTAATTTTTTCAATTTTTTTTAAAGAATAAGTGACAGACGAGCACACGGGCGACCTGATGATAAATGGATGCTGTGGCTCGTAGACATCTACATCTATCATCAAAATACAGATATGTTGTTACCCCTGAGAACTAAGATGGAATGCCTTGCTACCAGTAAAAAGGGTCTCCGGTTCTCTACATTCACGAAACGATGCGCAATATTATTCTGCTGTTTCACGCTGGTATTCTGTGAGAGCGTAGTCCTGCCCCGTTCAAGTCGACCTATTCGCGAGATGCGCGAAACGTACATTTCGAAGTAAAAATAAGTAATTTTTTTTTACATTTTGCATTTATAACCCCATCTGATAGGGTACTAATTAATATTGGAGTACATACTATTTTTAAACTTTCGGAAATATAATTTTATAGATTACCCTACCTACTTGTTCAATGATAAAATTATAGCATTGAAATGTTTAGGAAAAAGTTATATTTTAGATGATAGATCCAAATAGTCATTTTGAAGTCGATGATTTAATTTCACTAATATTAATATTTTTATTTAAATAATTACACGAAAGCTTTTTGTTTCTTGAAAATTAATATTAAGTTTTAAGTTATCTTTACCTTTTAGTTTCGTTAGTACTATTAGATATTCTGTGATTACGTCTTTGAAACACGCGAGTGAATGAAGACAAATTAATACTTTCAGAATGTAATTCAAGTTATGGGTGCTGTTAGGGTAATCAATTTACCGGATACTCTTTCTTGAATTATATTATGATAAAAACATTTGCATAAATGCAATTGTATAAAATACATTTGCAAACCGTTGTGTTTATTTATTTATTTACACACACACACACTTCACAACTATCCTTACAGGCTAAACAAACCCAATACGATAGTGTCACTAATTTACTTAACTTACTTATTAGTTTGTATTAATAATTTTAATGAGTACAGCTATTTCTATAAGAAGTCAGTCCCGTACAAATTTTTTGTCAAAAACATAAATATCCGAGAAAGTACGTATAAATTAAGTAAGTGCGAAAACTGATGAAATTAAACCTGATGTTAATGAAAAAGACCATTATATTGTATTGGTTTTTAAACATCAGCCGTTAAGTTATAAAAGAAAACAACTTACTAAATGAATAATGAATAATATAACATACCTTGTGTTTGGTCTTATTTCTAGATGTGATAAATGTTTAAATATTTTTTGATTTGACTCACAGGGGAGACATTTGTTACAGTTGTCACGCTTGGCTTTTTCCCCTCTGTCGTGTCTATCTCCTGATTTGTTTCCCTCTGTCGCCTCTTACGACACCCACGGGACGATATGTGGTAGTGGATATTCTTATGCCGGGTTTCCACGCTTGCCAAGTCTCGGCAAGCGTCCACAAGCACAAGTGTGTAAAGAGGGCGTTTGGCTTGGCTTGCGTGAGCTTGTGGACGCTTGTCCCCGATCCGGGCTAATGTCGGTTTTTAGACACAGATCAAAGGGCGCTTGCGGCAAGCGTTTGCAACGCATTCACACGTTGGTGCGCGTTTAGTAGAAATTGTGATTTCGCGACGAGCGCATGTTTAGTTCTTTGTTTAAAATGAGTGACTGGTCGAACGAAGAGAGTTTATCGTTTCTGGAATATTACTAGACCGAATCGTCTATCTGGAACCTCAAAGACGTTAACCATAAAAATAAAAATAAACTTGCAAATGCTTGGAGTCGTCTTGCAGAGTTAACGGGAAAGCCAGTAAAAGAATTAAAAGCCAAAAATTCCTTGTTGTTGTATTTACTTTGCTTGTATTTCAAATAAAAGTATGTTAAACCAAACGCAATAGCCGACACGAGTTCGGTGTCCGCCATGCTTGGATATACGTAGCACACTGACGCATTCACAAGCATGTCGGACACCGAAAAAACAACTTCCAAACGCCAAACGAGATTTGTGGACGCTTGGGGCTTGAAGACGTTTGCCGAGGCTTGGCAAGCGTGGAAAGGCACCATTACACCGTCACTACACGGTCAATTCAGTCCAAAGTTTTGTTTGAAGAATCCGCCCACCTTTAAAAGCACTGGAATGAGCGCTCACTTACAATTTATGCGCTCTTTTTGATAGACGCGTTCGAGCCGTCGATTGTGCATCTGATAGCGTTGTATTAAGTACCTTAATTTTTGTTTTAATGGTTGCGGTATTCCTTGCTTATTTTACTTTCCTACTGACAAAGACATATCGTCCCGATTCAAATAATGTTGAAAATCCCTAGAGTATGTAATTTCTTGCATAATATTTACAATTTTATATGAAATTTGTATAGTAGAAAAATGCGCGGGCAGTTTTTCGCCTATTTTGATCTAACCTGACTTAAAAGACTAGCTGATCCCAGCGATTGTCCGCGTATAATTTATTAGGGTTGGATTTGGATTTCATGGGTTTGACTTTTTTTTTTGCGCGGAAACGTAATTGTTTTTCTAAAATAAGAGTAGCCTTAGTAACTTCTTATAATATCAGCTATATGACAGTGAAAGTCCCGTCAAAATCGGTCCAGCCATTTCGAAGATTAGCTGGAACAAACAGACAGACATACAGACTGACAGACATTTTAAAGTTGTTTTTTTTTGTTATAAGTAACGTATATACTTTCATATGCGTTTAGTATAAAAGATGTTATTTTTACATTACAAACAGACACTTCAATTTTATTTATTTATATAGATATATTGGTGTCATTTAACCGTAATCAATAAATGAGTTTATTCTAATTGTTCTTTCTGAAAGAATGTCGTAAAATAGAATCAAGATAATATTATATCACAGAGAAAATTTTGGTATAATATGTAATCCAGTGATTATAAAAATAGTTTGTTTCATACTTTTAGATTGTATACTGGAATGA